CTTTTCATGTTGACATTCAGACTAAAATCATGTGACAGGCTGTTAAAATTGGCTGTTGCATACTCTTTCGCCGGTCTGGGAAATGTGTTTAATTAGCTCTCATTCAAGCAACAATGCAGATTTCCCAGTGGGAGTGAAACTATTCGACTCTGCCATTAAAAAATAGGGGTGTTTTCAGCAAAAAACGAATAACCCTGGAATGCACACAAAATACTGAATTTCGGAACAAATCGTGCATTACTTACAGCAGCAGAATACCACAGAAATATCAGACGAAACATGAAAACACTATATATTGTATTTCGGCCTGAACCCTCTACATTGCAATTCAAGGAATTAACCCCTTATGTGCATCCATTTCCCACCTTGGTATCACCCACCCCTGAAAACAAACTCTTAATACCTCGCTGAAGCGTTTGGTAAAAATATAACTAACACTATAATATTTTTAGAGATATTGAGCAACTTACTCTCTGAGCATTTTCCAGAATTGTAACACGTTCCACAATACCACTGCACACCTTTCTACTTGGCTGCCTTCTTTAGATTGCCAACATTCGTCTATAAACGGGATAACCATTCCATAATAGCTAGCACTATAATTCGGAGAACCTCTTGCCTTTAAATAAAAATCCATCCACCAGTACTCAAACTTAAAATAACAATAACAATAACATTTATTCAATATCAACGATTCAAAGTAATTTTGACAAATTCAATCTATTACTTTGAGACCAATTTAATATCTATATACTATATACTATATACTATATACGTATCTACTGTTATTGGCAGCTTTACCGTCTGATATACTAGCTAGTTTACAACAGAATAATCGCAAACCTAAATAAAAAGGGCAAACTTGTTCTACAATCTTGGTCTGGACAGCCTGAGAATGTAGGTCTGTATATAATTGTTTTTAGGGGGTGCCAGTTGACGAGCTGAAAGCGCGGTGGTTGTCACGCAGCGCGTGTTCGAATTTAATGTAAATAAACAATGTATTTTACACGCGTTGTATCACAGGGAGCCCAGGAACTATGATCAACTGTACGCACTTCCTATAAGCGGGGGAGGGGGTATCGGCTGGTATCTAGTGTAAGAAATAGACAAGGGATGAAGGCTCCGGCGAGCCCATATTTTTTAAACTGGAAAAAACAGACGAACAGAACGAAAAATAAAATCTATAAAAAATACCAGGTTGAAGAATATTAGTTGCTCTTTCAAATTTCGCCAAAGCCTTACCTATATTTGACCTATATCTGCAGAATAAATCAAGAAAACTACACAAATTGACCCCATTTACGAATACTTAACGGTTTGCCCGAACGTACGGCACAGTTTGGAGGCGTGGCCTGTTCAGCATTTGTCAACAACCAATCACAAGACTGATTACGAACCAGTTGAGCAAGGCTAACCTCGATGTGGTTCGTAACCAGTCTTATTTGAAAGAGCAACTAATATTCTTCAACCTGGCATTGTTATAGTTTTTATTTTTCGTTCTGTTCGTCTGTTTTTCCAGTTCAAAAAATATGAGCTCGCCGGAGCCTTCATCCCTTGTCTATTTCTTAAACTAGATATCAGCCGATACCCCCCCCCCCCGCTCATAGGCAGTGCGTACAGTTGATCATAGTTTCTGGGCTCCCTGTGGTTGTATACGTCGCTATGAGTCCCATATTGAACAGGACGCGGCGTGACGACTGCCGCCCTTGAAGGTGCGTCGTTTCCTCTGGCTAGGTAATTTGGTGCCGTTGTCATGAATTTGTTTTTGCGTATCTGTTGACCGACTTAATTAACTGATTATTAGCGAATTGCTGTGTTATGTCTGTCATCGTGTAGGCCTATTTGAAGTTTTGGACGGAACTTGGCTCAGTGATTTGGAACTAATTACCAGATAGCCGCCGCTTTTTAGATTACTCATTCTGACAGTTTACATCCATAGTTATTAATGTAGTGAACGATTAATCAAAAGATATGACGTATTCAGTACTTAGTGTGATTGGCTTTATGATTGAAGGTTACGCCCTAGAGTCTTTTTACTGCTTTGTAATTGGTTAGAGTTGTGAAAATGAATAAAGAGAGTTTGAGTTGGTCTTGGCGAATACTCCACGACAGACGCAGTAGAGAGAAAGTGCAGTCCTGGGCAGTCGAGAGTCCAGTCCAGGGGCGAGCTTTGAGGCAGTCCAGTCTTGGGCGAGTCTTGGTTCAGCCTTTTGAGAGTCTTGGGGACTTTTCCCCATGGCGCTGTGTCTTATAGAGTGCTCCAAAAGACCGAATAAGACAAGAGCTGAAACGTATTTCGTTGTGTGTGTCTTATTTGACTGTAAAGTATAAGTGACTTTCCCGATCCCGTACCTCAAGGGGACGAGATAGAGAGACGAGACGAGATTCCCCCCTGACACGTGTGGAGAACCCCGAGAAAGAAGAGATTTTACCCCGGATACGTTTTGAATGAACCCGGGCAGGTGTTTAACACACATTGACATCCTGTGAAGAAAAGTGAAATGGCGAAGGTGTGTCTTTCTTGCACACCGAACTAACCAGCTCCATGGCAGAGATGACTCAGAAACTGCGCTTGACGACTAACACCGTTAACAGTATGGCATCGATGTACAACGCCGAAGAGATGAAGATTTCTGAGCCCCTTACGAAGGATGAGTACCGGATAGGACTGTATAATTAAGAATTGAGCGACATTAGAGACAGGAAGAAGAGAAAGAACGACTCGGACTAACGCGACAAGAGAAGAGACGCTTATAGACTTTGACTTTAGCTATTTGCTTAGAGAACCGCTCGTTGGACACTGTAACTGACACTGTGTAACTCAAAGACGTTGAACTCTTTTCCACAACCCTAACCCTATTGTTCAGTAATGTAATGTATCGCTTGCTTTTCCTATCGTTTTTTTTTACCGTTCTTTTAGTGATGTTGAATTGTATGTATGTAAGCGCCCAGATCTTTGTCTTGATATGATATTTGGTGACGTTCGAGGTCCTTTATAACGATTTAAGCGCGCTTCAGTGGACGAGTATTTGCAACACAGTGTTTTGAGTTTTGTTAAGTTTTATGGTGTTTTAATGAGTTAATGTGTAAAGATTATGATGGGGAAAGTAATGCCCCAATGAGTTTTTAAGAGTTTTGAGATTTGTCGATGTACAGAGATATCGACGTTTTAAGAGTTGTTGTTGTTTATGTGTTGTTTTCCGGAATACTTCTGACGCTTTTTGAGTTGAGAGCACTTTGTAACGTTTTTTAATGTCTTTTTGGGATGAGAGTTTGGTGCGCTTATATACGTATTGTTTGATATCGCAAGCTTTTGTTCATGATTGACAGGTTTATATGTAATTCAGTAGTTTCTATCGTTTTAGTCTTTTTCCCGTTTTTTTTTGCCAGAGGAGTAATGTGTTATGAAAGCGATTTGTCTTTGCATTCCGTTACCACGCCGTATGACTTTTGTTTAGATTAACGACTTGTGAGTTCAGTTGAAGTTTATAAGCGTATATGAAAGGAGTTTGATTAATAGCTTTTTATTCATTGTTTATTAGTTACCGCTTTGCAATGCTTTAACCGAGAGACGCATCCCTGGTAATCACGTGATCGTGCTGTCGACGGCCGCGATTGGCTGATCGCTTGGTTACACCGCCACGCCTTAGTTTTTTTTAGACCTTTTGATATAGAGTTTGTAACCTTAGTAACGGAGACAGTGCAGCGAAGGGTTATCTCAGCGAACCGTTTTGAGAAAAGTGAGTCGATTG